AAGGGAGTTTTTGCATCTTACATGTTGATGGTTTTAATCATATCACTCAGTAACAATCCTCCAAGATGGCAGTTAATGACGAAAGATAAAAGTACTAAACTTGGCGGGCGCGTGGCTCAAGCCGTTAGATCCAGCACTCTGGGGAGCCGAGGCGGTGGATTGCTCAAGTCGAGGAGTTCAAAACCATGCCTGAGTCAAGACTCGTCTCTATATAAAATAAATAGAAGAAAATTAATGTGCCAACTAAATCATATATATCAGAAAAATTAGCGGCATGGTGGCGCATGGCCTGTAGTCCCGAGCTACGTTGGGAGGCTGAGGCAGGAGGATTGCTTGAGCCAGGAGTTTGAGGTTGCTGTGAGCTAGGCTGATGCCACGGCACTCACTCTAGCCTGGGCAACACAGAGTGAGACTCCTGTCTCAAAAAAAAAAAAAAAAAAAAAAAGTACTAAAACTTTTAGTGAAGGATCTTACACACAGTCTGAACATAGAGAATAAAGTTCCATCAGCTGTGATTGGACAAAGTTTAGTATCAGTGTCAATAACACACCTGACATAATCACCACTGGTGATAGTGAGTGGAAATATTGAAACCATAATCTGAATCTAATCAGAGAAAACAAATCGGTGGGGAGAGGGCGAAGGTGGATGATTGGCGAGTCTTCAAATTGCCATGTGACCCTAACTGGTTATATGGAGTCGAAGGTGTGAGCTGAATATCGTTGCAGTTCTGTCAATACATATATATCTTTCAATTGGGATTTTAAGGTCTTTATCTTATTTTTTTTTTATGTGTTAGAGTTTACGAATGGATTTTATAACAAGTCTTTTTATTCTTTTCTCTTTTATCAGCAGCTTATCTGGCAGGCCCAGCACACTGTTGTTTCTATTATCCTATGTATGTGTGATGTGATTGGGTGTGTGTGTATGGTAGATGTTTCTTCTTTGGTGTTGGTGTTTGAGATGTTTACTGTAATTGCCTGGTGGAAAAGCTAGCTGGTGGTGAGTGAATTCTATTATCACAGATAACGTCTATTGTATCCGGTTAATGTGTGTATTCTAGCTCCATTGTGTCTGATGCTCTTTATTTTTGTTACAGTCTCGGTTGTGGGTGTATTTGATCACATGTGTGGTTAACTCTTTCACAAATACCCTTGTTGTCGTGGGTTACATTCATTAGTGTTTTTTTGGTGTGCTCCGATAATCTCATGGCTTGATTCGTAGATGAAACCCAGTCGTTTGCTGTCTTCTGTTCCATCAGATGCTGAGTAAGTATTGTTGAAAAATATTGTTATAAGTACTATCTACACATTAGGACAGAGTAAGAAAGGCTGGGGTGGATGAACTCAGAATTTATGTAGTTTTTTGTTGTTTGTGTTTTGTTATTGTGTTTATTTTCCTTAATTATTATTTATTTATTATTTTTTGACACAGAGGTCTCACTTTGTCCCAGGCCAGATTTGGGTGAGTGTGTTTTGTTTTTGTTCTGTCGATGTCCTATCTCATGATGAAATCTGTGTTTATCTGCATGAAGGTAATCGTCGTGGCCTCAGGCTCCCGATTAGCTGACTACAGCACCGCCGCGGAGTCTCCGGGTAAATGTGTGTGTTTTCTTGTGAGGTTATGTATTTAGCCATTTCTTCTTATGGTTATGTGGAGGTGCTTGTGGGTTCTGGCTGTTTGCTCAGGGTTTCGAACCTGTCGCTCAAGAAGCAGCCGTGCCTCAGCCCCGTCTGATGGGGCTGTTTGGGAAACTGTTGTTTCCTTTTCTGATGGTCGAGATCTTTGCTAGTGCCATGACGCCCCTCCAAACTATGGTGTTGTTTTGCAAACTCTTTGGGAGCAATGGAGTATAATGTGCCAAAGGTTCAATGTGCTCGAGAAAATTGTGGGGTGTTGTTTGTTATGATAGCATGTTTGATTTTCATGCAGAAACGTTCTCCCCTTGGGTTTTCTGTATATACTCAGGTTGTAACATCTGGCCCTGTATTCAATCCCAGTGGGCCAAATCTTCTACGAAGTTTATAGGTGGTATCAACTGCCTTGTACTCGTTGGGTGTTACACCAAGGGGAGGGAAGCTGTGGAGAAATCCCCTCATGGAAAGGTTCTAACACATCCTGAAGAACTCCAGGACCTAAATTTAAATTCTGGAGCTATGGATTTAGGTCTTGCAGAGGTGGGGGGAGCGGTGTTGGAGTGTGCCTTTCTGCACAATCTTAATATTTGTGCAAGGAGAAGGAGGGAATTTGAGATTTAAAGCTAAGAATTTACTCAGTGCCATGTGCCAGGTAGTGAGCTTGGGGGCGCCATGGACTCTGGACTCAATTTAAAGTTGGTGAAAATGCAATGCATTAAAGAAGATCCTAGGCCGAGCGCAGTGGCTCACACCTGTAACCCTGGCACTCTGGGGGCCCAGGCCAGAAGGATTGCTCAAGTAAGGAGTTGGAAACTAGCCTGAGCAAGCAGTGGAGACACCATGCTCTACTATAAATAGAAGGAGAAATTATTTGGGCCCACTAAAAATATTAGTATAGAAAAAATTATTGGGCATGGTGGCGCATGCCTGTGAGTTCCCAGCTCACTAAGTGGCTGAGGAGCAGGATTGGCTTGGCCTAGGAGTTTGAGATTGCTGTGAGCTAGGTGACACCAGGGCACTCTAGTATCACTTGTTAATAAAAAAAAAAAAAAGAAAAGAAGAAAAAAAAAATAATAAAACAAAAATGGATAGAAAAGGCTCAGGGAAAATAGCTCTTATTTCTGCTTATATGATTGTCTGTAGTCTCAATAGTATGCGTAAAAATATCAACATAGATTTATAAATGTTTTACAATTAAATATCTTTCTTTTTAGAAAAAGGTTCTACTTTATCACATTTAATATGTATATACTTACCATATGTATGTATTTGTGTGTATAAAATATGAGTATTTGATGAGTGTTGTGTTTCTGCCTTCTTGTCTTCATTACTTTTTTTAGTTATGAAATCTGCTGTGAACATTCAGTTGGGGCTGTCTGTGTAAAGTGGCCTGTATGTCCCTTTGAGATAAATTCTAAGTCAGATAAACTGGGGTAAAAAATGAGCTCTGCTGTTTATTGTATAATTGGCAAAATACTCTCATAAAAATAATGGTATTATTTTTTCTCATAGATTATTTTTGTAGTTTTAAGTATTAATATATGAAAAACTGCTGGAATGACATGTAGTATACAGTAAATATTCAAAAAGGATTGCTGCTATTCTTGCTATTATATAATAACCTGTATATTTCATAAAACTCTTAATTGTACATCATTCATGATTTCTTCCCCCGGAGTTCTACCTCTGTGCTGTTTAAAGCTGTGGCTTTAAGACCTGAGGCATTGGCCAGGCGCAGTGGCTCATGCCTGTCATCCTAGCACTCTGGGAGGCCGAGGCAGGCGGATTGCTCGAGGTCAGGAGTTCGAAACCAGCCTGAGCAAGAGCCAGACACCGTCTCTACTATAAATAGAAAGAAATTCATTGGCCAACTAATATATGTAGAAAAAATTATCCTGGCATGGTGGCGCATGCCTGTAGCCCCAGTTACTCGGGAGACTGAGGCAGCAGGATTGCTTGAGCCCAGGAGTGTGAGGTTGCTGTGAGCTAGGCTGACGCCATGGCACTCACCATAGCCTGGGCAACAAAGTGAGACTCTGTCTCAAAAAAAAAAAAGACCTAAGGCATTGGTGTCATTTGTGAGCTTGTTAGAAATGCAGAATCCGGGCCTCGCCAAGATCTCCTGAACTAGAATCTGCCTTATAACAAGATCTCCAGTTCATTGGTATTTCCAGTAAAAATTGAGAAATATGGTTATAAGTCACCATGGCCTTTTCATCTGAGAAATTGATAAAACAGATTCTGTAAAATGTAAATATATCACTCAAAACTGTATATTTCTGTGTTGATGTTTTAGTTTTATATTCTATACAGACATAGTATCTCCATTAATTTTGTAGATCTAATATTCTCTTTCTATATAAGTAGAGAATGCCTTAAGAAATACTAGGATGTGGCCGGATGTGGTGGCTCACGCCTGGAATCCTAGCACTCTGGGAGGCTGAGGCAGGAGGATCGCTTGAAGTCAGGAGTTCGAAACCAACCTGATCGAGACCCCGTCTCTACTAAAAATAAAAAGAAGTTAATTTACCAACTAAAAATATATATTCAAATAATTAGCCGGGCATGGTGGCGCATGCCTATAGTCCCAGGTACCTGGGAGGCTGAGGCAGGAGGATCGCTTGAGCCCAGGAGATTGAATTTGTTGTGAGCTAGGCTGACACCAGAGCACTCACGCTAGCCTGGGCAGCAATGTGTGACTCTGTCTCAAAAGGAGGGAGGGAGGGACGGAGGGAATATTAGAGTGTTAAAACATATGTTCTTGTGTAATTCAGGTCACTCATATATCTCAAGGCCACTAGTATTTATTTATTTATTTATTTTGACAGAGTCTCTCTCTATTGCCAGGCTAGAGTGCCCTGGCATCACCCTACGTCACAGCAACCTTAAACTCCTGGGCTCAAGCAGTCCTCCTCCCTCAGCCTCCTGACTAGCTGGGAATAGAGGTGTGCACCACCATGCCTGGCTGATTTTCTCTATATCATTTTAGTTGTCCAGCTAATTTCTTTCTATTTTTTTGTAGAGATGTGGTCTCACTCTTGGTCAGGATGGTCTCAAACTCCTGAGCTCAAACGGACCGCCCGCCATGGTCTCCTACAGTGCTAGGATTGCAAGGGCGAGCCACTGCTCCTGGTCTGGGCCAGTAGTCTTAATGTCCACATTGTATCTTGAGTCAAATTAAAAACTGCTCATGGTGACATGATCATTTATTCCTTTATCCATTTCTGATTTTTATTCAGGGACTGTTAACAGTTATGTGGACATAGAATTCCCTCTGGAGGAGAGGGAATACCTAAACACTAAGAATTCTTCTCACAGCTACATGGTCCATATATTTTATTATATCTTATTTTATTTTTTCAGGAACTGTTGACATTCAGTGATGTGGCCATAGACTTCTCTCCAGAGGAGTGGGAATACCTGGACACTGCTCAGCAGAATTTGTACAGGGATGTGATGTTGGAGACCTACAGAAACCTGGTCTCTGTCGGTGAGAATTACTTACCTCCAGAATATCTAATATACCTCAAGGGTTTCATTTCTTTTCTTTACAGATTGTGTTTTGGGAGCTTGTGCCTTGATTGTATGTATGAGTATAAGTTTCCTAATTTTAGGGGAAAAAATTGGGGGCTTTCTAATGTAAAAAAACATTTTCTTTCTTAAGGTGGTTTGATAGTTTCACTCTACCATAGTGGTGAGTCCAGAAATTCAGTGATATAAAATATTATTGTCCACACCTTAAAATCACATTTCTCCTTTTTATTGTTGATTCAGTCATGCTTGAAAGTAAAACACTGGATCAACAAGTTTAAAATGCATCCCAAATATTCTACAGGAGTTGTCAGGAGATAGTATTTAGAAAAATAATTTTCTAGAGTTTTTTATAAGATTGTCTCTTCTCTACTGACTACAATAGTAAGTTCAAGATTGAGGAACCCCATACAAAATGCATGTGCTTTTTTCTAATGAAATAGAACTTGCTGTCTCTAAGCTAGACCTGGTCACCTTTTTCTTTTGAGACAGAGTCTCACTTCGTTGCCCAGGCTAGAGTGAGTGCCCTGGTGTCAGCCTAGCTCACAGCAACTTCGAACTCCTGGACTCAAGCAATCCCCCTGCCTCAGCCTCCCGAGTAGCTAGGACTACAGGCATGCGCCACCATGCGGATGATTTTTTGCGTGTGTGTGTGTGTATATATATATATATATATTAGTTGGCTAGTAGAGACAGGGGTCTCTCTCTTGCTCAGGCTGGTTTTGAACTCCTGACCTCGAGCAATCTGCCTGCCTCGGCCTCCCAGAGTGCTAGGGTTACGAGTGTGAGCCACTGCGCCTGGCCACTATGGAAGTTTTAAAGGTGATATTACAGATATTGAGACCCTGTAATTTCATCAGAATACAAAGGATCTCCCTTTGAATATTAAAATATATCTTAAATATAAAGCATTTCAGTAAATTTTTAAATATTTCAAAAAAATATATTTAAAATTAACAGTTTCTTTTAAGAATATTAGAAACTTAAAGTGTATATGCACAATTTCCAAGTTTATAATAGTTTTATGTGCTATTTTCCATATAGAGTTCTTTTTTCTTTCTTTTTTTTTTTTAATTTTAGACAGAGTCTCACTCTGTCACCTGGTCTAGCTTGTGCGGCCTCAGCGTACCTCACAGGAACTTCAAACTCCTGGGCTAAAGCAATCTTCCTGCCTCAGTCTCTTCAGTAGCTGGTGCTATAGGCATAAGCAACCATTCCCGGCTAATTTTTTCTGTATATTTTTAGTTGTCCGGCTAATTACTTTCCATTTTTAGTAAAGACTGGGTCTTGCTCTTGTTCAGGCTGGTCTTGACCTCTTGACCTCAAGCGATCCTCCTGCCTCAGCCTCCCAGAGTGCTGGGAGTACTGGTGTGAGCCACCATGCCAGGCCTATGCAGACTTTAGAACATGGTCTGGAATATAGTAAGATTTTTTTCTTTTTCTTTCTTTTTTTTTTTTTTAATTTATTTAGATTGCAAATCTTCTCTGTATCATTCCAATTTTAATATATGTGCTGCCGAAGGGAGCAGTATAGTAACATTTTCACTGTTACCTTCTATATTAATAATTATCATTTTATATTTCTGTTTGGTCAAATATGTAGCTTACTGAGCATGTGTCTTCTATGTTCATTTGTTTGTTTATTGTTTCGTTCATCCTGTCGTGGAGTTTTTGGTTTTTTGTGTTTTTTTTTTTTTTTGAGACAGAGTCTTGCTTTGTTGCCCAGGCTAGAGTGAGTGCCGTGGCGTCAACCTAGCTCATAGCAACCTCAAACTCCTGGGCTCAAGCAATCCTCCTGCCTCAGCCTCCAGAGTAGTTGGGACTACAGGCATGGGCCACCATGCCCGGCTAATTTTTTCTATATATATTAGTTGGCCATATAATTTCTTTCTATTTATAGTAGAGACGGGGTCTCGCTCTTGCTCAGGCTGGTTTCAAACTCCTCACCTCGAGCAATCTGCCCGCCTTGGCCTCCCAGAGTGCTAGGATTACAGGCGTGAGCCACCAAGCCCAGCCCTAAAAAATCTTTTGATCATCATATACGAGTGCCCTTGTGCATACAAAGTCATATTTTTCTTGCTGATTTCAAGATTTTCATTCTTTAAAACTTTAAAATCTTTGGTGACAATGTGTCTTCTTTTGGCTTTATTTGTGTTGTTACTGACTGGAGTAGCTTGGGCTTCTTTAAATTTTATGTTATTTTCTCCTTGAAAGTTCTCAGATATTGTGTCTTCAGGTGTGCTTTCTGATTATATTTTTCATTTGTCTCATTAAAGGACTCTCATTAAAAATATTTTGGCAAGCTTGATGATAATAAGTCCCTTAGGCTCTATTCACTATTCTTCCTTTTTAATTTTTATTCTCTTGACTGTAATTGCAAATGGCCTTTTATTAATTCTGCTATTGACCCTATCCAGTGAATATTTAAATTTTTTTTATTTTTCAGCTTCATACTTGTTATTTTAGTTTTTTGAAATTTCATTCTCTTTGTTAATAGTCTCATTTCTTTATGCATTGTTTTCCTCCACTTATTTAGTTGTTTGTGTTGTCATTTAGCTGGCAGACTACCTTTAAGACAGATACTTGAAATCCTTGTAGCATTACTTCATATATCATGACTACATTAGGATCACTTAAATATTTTTCTCCTTTCCCTGGATTACATTTCCAAGTTTCTTTGATGTCTTTTCACTTTTGGTAAGATTTTGGTCCCCTAAAAACAGCTACCTATTCCATCCTTTAGATAATGGCTTTGTTCAGGGGAAATATAGCACCATCCAGCCACACTAGACCTTTTGAGACTTGTCTAAACTATTGGCAGTTTGTGTGTTATCTGAAGTACTGTGTATATTTTCCCACTAAACAGCTTTGCCTATTACTGTTAAAAAGCCCTTAAGCTTTACTTTCCATGATGAATTCTGTATGTTCTGCATGCTTTCTGTTGCTGTAGTAGGTATTCATTTTTGTTCTGAATGAACTGAGCATGTCATTTACACTATATCTCTATTTCTTTTTAGGACTATATATTAAAGGAAATAATGACCCATCTTCTGAATGCCCCAGAGAGACCCACGACTTTGGATATAGGATTGGATTACGTGTTCAGTCAAATATTTCTGAAGACCAGAGATTTGAAATTAAGCAGACTATTTCTAAATCTGAAGAATTTGATCAGCCCTGCATTAAAACTTTATTATTCTTTCACAAACCAATAATCCCGTTACATACCAAAACCAACAACTGTGATCAGTATGGTAAGGTTTTTACCCAGTCATCATTCCTTAATCAATCTCAGGGAATAGATAAATTGGAAAAACATGACATATCTTGTAAAACTTTCATGTCCTTTATCGAGAACTCTACCCTAAATAATTACCAGGGTATTCATTTTGATGAGAGAACATATCAATGCAATAAACCTGAACAAACCGTGAACCAAGTCTCATTCTCTAGTAAATATAAGAAAGCTCAATATCCAGAGATCCAGTACAAGTCTAACAAATACCAGAAAGTCTGTCTCCAACATTTCAAGCTTATTACCCATGAGGATACCCATATTCAGGACTATTCCTACAAATGTAATGAACGTGTAGAAGCTTTTGCCCAGTCAGGAAAACATTCTCAAAATCAGGGAATTCCTTTTGGAGAAAACTCACATAGACATTATAAAGGTGTGAAACTCTTCAGTCAGTCGTCCAATGTAGGAACACGTGACACAATTTATACTAAAGAAAACCTCTACAAATCTAAAGAATGCAGCAAAACTATTAACCAGAGTTCACAGCTTAAAAATGAGAAAATTTGTACTCAGGAGAAATCCTACAAATGTAAACAATGTGGCAAAGCCTTTACTCAGTTTTCACTTCTTCAAGAACATCAAATAATCCATATTAGGGAAGAACCCTACAAATGGCAACAATGTGGCAAAGCTTTTACCCATTTTGCAAGCCTTGGGATCCATCAGGTGGTTCAACTGAAAGAAAAATCGCACAAATGTAAAACTTGCGGTAAATCCTTCAACTTTCGTTCATATCTTATTAAACATGAGAGAATTCATACTGGAGAGAAACCCTACAAATGTAAAGAATGTGGCAAAGCCTTTACTCAGTTTTCAAGTCTTAGACACCATCAGAAAATTCATACTGGAGAAAAACCGTACAAATGTGAAGAATGTGGCAAAGCCTTTACCATGTCAACAAGCCTTATAATACATCAGGTAGTTCATACAGGAGAAAAACCCTACAAATGTGAAGAATGTGGCAAAGCCTTTACCGTGTCAGCAAGCCTTAGAAAACATCAGATAATTCACACTGCAGAGAAACCCCACAAATGCAAAGAATGTGGCATATCCTTTACACAGTCAGTAAGCCTTAGACAACATCAGGGAATTCATACTGGGAAAAAGCCCTACAAATGTGAAGAATGTGGAAAAGCCTTTACGTGGGTGGCAAGCCTTAGAGTACATCAGAGGCGTCATACTGGAGAAAAACCCTACAAATGTGAAGAATGCGGCATGTCTTTTACTGAGTCAGGAAGCCTTAGAAAACATCAGGCAGTTCATACTGGAGAGAAGCCCTGCAAATGCAAAGAATGTGGCAAAGCCTTTACTCAGCTTTCAAATCTTAGGCGACATCAGATGATTCACAGTGGAGTGAAACCTTACAAATGTAATGAATGTGGTAAGTCCTTTAGACATAGTTCATACTTTACTCAACATCAGAGAATTCATACAGGAGAAAAACCCTACACTTGTAAGGAATGTGGCAAAGCTTTTAGTCAGTATTCAAGTTTTATACACCATCAAAAGCTTCATACTGGAGAGAAACCCTACAAATGTAAAGAATGTGATAAATCCTTTACCCAGAGTTCACAACTTACTGAACATCAGAGAATTCATACTGGAGAAAAACCCTACAAATGTAAAGAATGTGGCAAAGCCTTTTCCCAGTCAGCAAGCCTTAGACAACATCAGATAATTCATACTGGAGAGAAACCCTACAAATGTAAAGAATGTGGCAAAGCCTTTACCCAGTCAGTAAGCCATAGACTACATCAGGTAATTCATACTGGAGAGAAAGCTTACAAATGTAAAGAATGTGGCAAGGCGTTTACACGAGTGGCAAACCTTAGAATCCATCAGAGACTTCATACAGGAGAAAAACCCTACAAATGTGAAGAATGCGGCATGTCTTTTACCCAGTCAAGTTGCCTTAGAAAACATCAGGCAGTTCATACTGGAGAGAAGCCCTGCAAATGCAAAGAATGCGGCAAAGCGTTTACTCAGCTTTCCAATCTTAGACGACATCAGAGAATTCACAGTGGAGAGAAACCTTACAAATGTAATGAATGTGGTAAATCTTTTAGACACAGTTCATACTTTACTCAACATCAGAGAATTCATACCGGAGAGAAACCCTACACATGTGAAGAATGTGGCAAAGCTTTTACTCAGTTTTCAAGTCTTAGACACCATCGAAAAATTCATACTGGAGAGAAACCCTACAAATGTGACGAATGTGGTAAATCTTTTACCCATAGTTCACAACTTGCTCAACATCAGAGAATTCATACTAGAGAAAAACCCTACACGTGTGAAGAATGTGGCAAAGCCTTTTCGCAGTTTTCAAGTCTTAGACACCATCAAAAAATTCATACTGGAGAGAAACCCTACCAATGTAAAGAATGTGGAAAATTCTTTACCCATAGTTCACAACTTACTCGACACCAGGGAATTCATACGGGAGAGAATCCCTACAAATGTGAAAAATGTGGCAAAGCCTTTAACTGCCATTCAAGCCTTACTCAACATCATAGGATTCATACTGGAGAAAAACCTTACAGATGTGAACAATGTGGCAAAGCCTTTAACCGTAAATCACACCTTACTCAACATCAGAGAATTCATAACACGGAAACTGTATAGACATAATACATGTAAAAAGGACTTTATCCTAAATAAACAACTTGGAAGTTACCAGAGTGTCCATAAGAAAAGAAATTTTACATGTGCAATAAATGTGTAGAAGTATTTAATCAAAACTTACATCCAAGTATATCAGTGGATTCACAAAGGTAAAAACTAAAGCACACTTTCAGATTTTACACTAACCCAGAATATTGTAGAGAAATTTAAGTTGAAGTACTTAGATAATTTATCTGTTCATGTTGTTCAAAAGAGCAAGAACAGGCCAGGCACGGTGGCTCACGCCTGTAATCCTAGCACTCTGGGAGGCCAAGGCAGGCGGATTGCTCAAGGTCAGGAGTTCAAAACCAGCCTGAGCAAGAGCAAGACCGTGTCTCTACTATAAATAGAAAGAAATTAATTGGCCAACTAATATATATAGAAAAATTTACCCGGGCATGGTGGTGCATGCCTGTAGTCCCAGCTACTTGGGAGGCTGAGGCAGAAGGATTACTTGAGCCCAGGAGTTTGAGGTTGCTGTGAGCTAGGCTGACACCACGGCACTCACTATAGCCTGGGCAACAAGCGAGACTCTGTCTCAAAAAAAAAAAAAAAAAAAGAGCAAGAACACTCATTTTAGAACAGGTATAGGTATAATCAATGGGTAATTTGTATTGACAGTATTTTAAGTTTTTCAAAAGCAAATATTGATGTACTTAAATGTTCAAATCAGTTTGTTATCCTTTCATTCTTAATGTATATAAAATATGTATTCTGTTGTTTGTACATCTGAGCTGTGAGAGGATATTCAATATCAATTTGATTAATACCAATTTTCCATAAATGTTTAATGGCAAATGTAAATTACATTAAGAAAATCTAAAGAGGTTTTTTGTGTGTTTGAATCATAAGACAACAATGCATGCAAATACACACTGTGTAATCCTGTTTTTTCTGTATTTAAGAAACTTTCTATATTTTCAAAATAAATTATTTTACCAATCACTCCTTAAGTATGAAAAAGCTGGCCAGTTGGTTTAAATACTGACATATCTTCATAGTACAGTAAAATAGAAGTCTTGAATATTATTTGATGTGATGGAAGACATGGAAATCTTGAATGCTATTTGATGTAATAGAAATAATAACATCTTCACAGATATCACAGCAAAGTGAAGATGACTCCTATCTGAGAGGTTGTATTTGTATTAGACCAAAAATAATCTTTCTTGTGTGTTTATGACCAAAGAGCATCTGGTGGGTTTTAAAATACTTTATCTAGGCCAGGGGTCCACAAACTTTTTAAACAGGGGGCCAATTCACTGTCCCAGACGATTGGAGAGCCAGATTATAGTTTTAAAAAACTATAATTTTAAAATTTTTTTAAAAAGCTATGAACAATTCCTATGCACACTGCACATATCTTATTTTGAAGTAAAAAAACAAACAGGCAAAAACACCCACATGTGGCCCACGGGCCATAGTTTGAGGACCCCTGATCTAGGCTATAGTTTAATTTTTTTGATTAATAACATTCAGTTGTTCTTAATGGTTTAACACTGATGTGAAATGAATAAAATGTTACTCTGCCACAAACGTTAAACTACCTTGTCTATAATTGCAGTTAACAAATGAAAATAATGTACTATTTGGGTATCACAATGGAATAACTTATACTAATCACTATATTTTGAGGAACAAAATTTTCAGTAATTTCACCATATTCGAATAGTTACTATATTGTGTTTCTTTCACAGTTACGGGGTTGTTGATATGCTTACAATAAAGATTATATGGGAGTATAATTCAATTCCATACCTTCAAATCCTAAATCATTCATAAAATTTTAGCCAATATTTTTCTTTGCACATGGCCTTTTCTAGTCCAACTGAACACATAGAGATGTTTTGTTTCAATTTACATTTAATGCAATGTACAATATGTTAAGCTAAAAATAAACTTTTTGTAAGAACTATAGAGGAAGAAATGCATATGTATACCTATTTATAGAAGACAATGGGAAGTAGATCAAAACAGACAAGTTCAGATGATCTCATGGTTTACAAGCAAAGTAGACCTTATAAATTCTCAAAGCAAATTTAGTTTCATGTTAAATTTATTTCTTGCAAATCTCATGTCTCCAGGGTGCAGACTCTCCCCATACAAATTCTGTCTTTTTCACTTGCCGCCTCTTCACTTAGAATAACTATTTCATTTTCTGGAGCTTCAAATCGTTGAATATATGTGGACTGTCACAGGCTGACACTTTAGCCTGGTGGGTCCTCAACCCCTCAAGCTGTGCAAAACACCAGAATTGAGTTTCCAACTGCATCCTCTGAGTTTCAGACTTATCCAAAAAGCTAACTGCTGACACGAATGTGGAGGTTTTCATATACATTTCTAACTGTAATTTTTCATCTAGCTTTTGCACCTTCATCTCAGCTGCTGTCTTCTGTAACTACTGGCAAAGCTCCTAGTAATGGCCAGTCCACTGTTAATACCTCATGGTGATTTTCATCACTCCAGGTTGTAATGTGGTTCTCTCCTAATGAGTGCTCTAGTCCTTACAGGTTAGGGGCATTCCTGTACTCACTCAGTCCACATGCGTGTCACAAATGGGCACCACACCCCAAATAGATCAGAAGTAACGCCCAAGAATTTCCACTCCCGTAATTTCTTCCTCTTGCCCATACTTTGGTTAATGGACTGGTACTGGCTATCTTGCCACTTGTTTTGTGAAATGTCCATACATGTAAAGTGAGGCCCAAATGCAGAAGGAGCCAAGAAACCAAAGAAGGAGACAGACAAATCCAATTTGTCACTAGAGGATGACTGATTGGTGAATTTATGGGCAGGTGCATAGTCATGGGGGGCAACAACACAGGTGGATTTCCATTATGATCAATATAATTAATAAAGTATTTTGGGTAATCTTTCAAATACACTCTGTATTTTAAGCTTCCATAACACCCCAATAAAGACAACACATTTGGATGTATTTGTTTGATTTTCCCACTTTTATTTATGTTAACAGTTGATCAGTGGGGCCAAGGAATGTCTATTTCTTTCATATAATTGCTTATCGTGTCAATTAGTACTCTTCTAATTTCACTGAGGGTTGCAAACTATTAGTTTTCTAATTACATTATATCCTCTGCATGTAGTAGTTCTTATTCTTCTATTAAGAACTACAGTTTATCATGAGCTCCTCATTTCATTCAAATCTAACCTGGCAGGAAAGGAAGGATAAAAGCATAAATTGTTTTTTATCCATTGTGATGACAATGATGAAGTGACCCCAGCAAACAGAAGACATCGAAATAATATTTTCCCTAACATTCTTTTTCCAAATTTCATAGCATTCAGTATGCTGAAGTTGTATCTATTTTTGAGTTCAAATTATCCCATCTTAGGTCAGTGAGGGACACTTTACATTGAGTTCTCTAGTCCTTACAGGTAAGGGACATTTCTGTGTCCTGTGTCCTTGTATCCTGAGACCATGTTTTGAGAACTTTCTTATTCTCTAAAAGAAACACATATGCGTATTTTATTTTATGTTTTACACACTTTACAAATAGATGTTCTATTTGGTATATTCCTTTTTACTTACGTTTCCAGCCATGTATAATATCCTGGTTTTATATTGTGTACTTCATCAAACTTATTAACATTTCTTGATTTGAGTAACAAGCAGGATTTATTCTCACAGCTTGTAGAAATATTTACCAATGTTTTCTACTACTATTTGCAGGTTTCCAATTTTTTCCATTTATATGTATTCTCTATTTGTATTTTATGTAACTCTAGCAAATAAAGAATAGATCAATTGGCCGGGCGTGGTGGCTCACGCCTGTAATCCTAGCACTCTGGGAGGCCGAAGCGGGCAGATTGCTCGAGGTCAGGAATTAGAAACCAGCCTGAGCGAGACCCCGTCTCTACTAAAAAAAAAACAAAAAATAGAAATTGACCAACTAAAAATATATATATATGAAAAAATTAGCCAGGCATGGTGGCGCATGCCTGTAGTCCCAGCTACTTGGGAGGCTAGGGCAGTTGGATCACTTGAGCCTAGGAGTTTGAGGTTGCTGTGAGCTAGGCTGATGCCACGGCACTCACTCTAGCCTGGGCAACAAAGCAAGACTCTCTCTCAAAAAAAAAAAAAAAAAAAAGAATAAATCAATTGTTATCTTCTTTGTCAGAACATCCAGTTCTGAAAAAGTAACTATTGATAAATCCTCCTGGTTTCTATTTTTATTGTATGTACTTAGGTGGATTTCTGCACTTTTCACTGTCCCAGGCTCCTTGCCTGTTTTTGCATCAACACCACACTGCTTTAATTACAGAATGTGTTAATGTTTTTAATGTCATGTAACACCGTAAGTACTTCGCTGTGTTTCTTTTTTAGGGAATGCTTTATTATTTTGCTCATAGAGACTTTGCAAATTTTTCTTTTCTTTTTAAACACACAAAGCGGAAGTGCACGTTTTTCACTAACTTTGTTCTAGGTCATTTTCTATAAATGATTGTGCATTATACACATAAAGGCTGCCATTCATGTGTATTGATGCACTATTGTGTTTATTTGCTCAACTATGGTGTTAGGGTTTTTTAACTAATTATTTTGTTTCTATATATACAGTCAGTTCATCTGCAAGTTAACTCTTACATGTTTGTTTTTATTTCTTCTGCCATCTTTGATTGCTTGGATAAAGCTCAATGCAACTTTAATGAATACTGTTAGCAATATTGTGCTTTTTATTGTTTCAGAAAATAGTAGGAATGTCCCTCATGTTTTTCATTAGTGTGAAAAAGACCATTTTGTCAAGTTTGAAAAGATCTATTAATGACTAATTTTGATGATTTAAAATTATGAGTAATGCAGGTTAAATTCTGCTAAATAGACATTTTTGCATCTATGAACATAAATGGTTGTTTCATTTCTCTTTATGAAAATAATGAAACTTATTGAATTTCCCAATATTCAATGAATTACTCTAGAATTACAATAACTGAATTTTGCCATATTATGTCATTTTTAATAATAGGATTTGTTTCCTAGTATCATACATACTTCTATGTGTACCCAGCGATGAAATTTTTCTATAACAGTGAATTTTACACAACACTTGAAAGTTTTTGGTACCAATGTTCCACTTGACTTCCGTAATTAATTAGGAAGTAGTATTTCCATTGTAATGTTGTTAAATTGAGTTAAAAGCATTAATTTATGTGATATTTAAAATGACTGAAGAATTCCCATCAGAACTACTTTTTTCTGGATCTGTATTTGTTAGAACCTTTTTTTTTTTTTTTTGAGACAGAGTCTCGCTTTGTTGTCCAGGCTAGAATGAGT